CACTCTACTTTGTATGTGGGATGCTGCCACAGCATGGCTTGAGCGGTGGGTAGGTCTACACCCAGGATCTGAACCTGCGAAGCAGAGTGTGCACCTTAACCGCTGGGCCATCTGGTCAGCCCTGCCTCTTATTCCTGAGCAGTGAGTCACGTGGCCTTGGCTAGTTACTGCTCACAAAGCCTGCATTTCCCCTTCCCACCTAAGTGTCCTTAACTTGTCTTGTAAATCCACTGGTGATTTGGAGGCATCCTGGATTAGCCCGTAGGTGAGCAAGTGGGCTGCAAGGTTCCTCACTGGCTTTCCTTTTCTGTTTTACCTTTCCTTAGACAAGACCATCATCATGTGGAAGCTGACCAGGGATGAGACCAACTACGGCATCCCACAGCGTGCTCTTCGAGGTCACTCCCACTTTGTTAGTGACGTGGTGATCTCTTCAGATGGCCAGTTTGCCCTCTCAGGCTCCTGGGATGGAACGCTTCGCCTCTGGGATCTCACAACGCAAGTAGCTGCTCACTTAGCTCTAGGGCCTTGGGGAAAACCGGGGCAGAAATGAGGTAGCTGTTGGGAAGTGGTTTTCTAGCGGTGACCAGGTCCGCTGAGGGCACTGTAAGGTGCAGAATACCTGGAGAAGTGGTTGGCGTGGTTTGGCCTCCCTCCTTGTTGCTCTTGAGGAGTGATGTAGCATTCTTGAGCAGTGGTCTGGTGAGCAGTTTTGTCAGATAACTGCACTTGGGAACAGGTGACAGTTTGAACCTTTTTTATCTTGGGAGTTCAGTCTTCGGATGATCGGGTATAATGGAGGATCCTGGTGATGATAGACGACATTGTCAGCCAATCCCCACGTGGGAATGAGGACATGTCCTGCAATTCTGAAGGGATTCTCTGTCATTGTTCTCAGCCAAACCCCTACTGTGATCATAGCCATGACTAGGGTTTCGTGAGTAATGCAGCTCTGCTGGGACAGGAAAAAGGCCAGGGAAACAGTCTGACTGGAAGAATGTTTGCAAACTCTGGAGAGTGACCAAGTCCTCCTCCTCAGGGGCACCACCACACGCCGATTTGTGGGCCATACCAAGGATGTGCTGAGTGTGGCATTCTCCTCTGACAACCGGCAGATTGTCTCTGGCTCCCGAGATAAAACCATCAAGCTATGGAATACTCTGGGTGTATGCAAATACACTGTCCAGGTAAAGTGAAGGCACATGCAGAGAGCACGTTGAAGGTTCTCTTCCACTTTCCTTAACCTTGGCCTTATGTGGTGATTTCAAGCCTCATCTGGAATCTAAAGGGGTTGTGTTGATCTTCAAGGTTTGGGTTCTAGGGATATGAATGCAAGGCTGTCAACATGTATCCCATGTAACTTAGGGGAGGGGTGGTGGTCTAGAGTTTTATGAGACAAGACAGTTTTGCCTTGTGTCCTTTCTGTTCTCTGTAGGATGAGAGCCACTCGGAGTGGGTGTCTTGTGTCCGCTTCTCACCCAACAGTAGCAATCCCATCATTGTCTCCTGTGGCTGGGACAAGCTAGTCAAGGTGAGTTTGGAGCAGGGGTGTGGGCCTTTACCAGCCGGAATATGTTCCTGCTGCCTCCCAGGTGGTCAGAGGCCAGAGGCTCCAACTTTGAAAGCTTTGTCCCTCAGTTGACATTTTTCCTCTTGCTGTTTTCTCAATACAGGCCATTAGTGTTTGACATTTTGTTTGAAGTAGCTAATTGATGAACCCAGAGTCCCTTGTAAGGCAAAACACATAGCATTTGTTACCTGTTTTATTTCTAACGACTTTCAAGTGGCCAAGACAAATTCTTTAACCTTTTTGTTACTGATAGAATAAAAAAATGGCTACCCTATCCAGGAATGCTTTTAAAAAGTGTGCCATGCCTTTTCCATTAAGCTTGAGCTCTCCTGACCCTGGCTGATCCATTAGCTGGGTTCTTTACCTATGACCCCCTAAATTTAGGTGTGGAATTTGGCAAACTGCAAGCTGAAGACCAATCACATCGGCCACACAGGCTACCTGAACACTGTCACTGTCTCTCCGGATGGATCCCTCTGTGCTTCTGGAGGCAAGGTATTCAGAGGCCAGGAGCCTCCTGCTCAATGGGGGACAGTGTCTTAGAAAGGATACTTAACACAATAGCATTCCAATAAGTGTTTCTAAAGATCACTTTCTGAAAATGACGTAGATGAGGCATAGTGTTTCAGGGACAGGAGTTTCTTCTGTAAAGCTTGTTTCTTGAAGCTAGCGAGCTTATGATCCTGTTTTTTCAGAACTCAGTGGTATATTTAGAAGTTGTCAGAGACTTTTGGTGGGGTTGGTGAGGTCATGTATTGAAGGAAAGGTTAACAGAGATAAGTATTGGTACTTGAGTTGTCAGCTTTTGGCAAGTTCAGCATACGAGAGGGAAGTTAACAACTAAGACAGAATCTTGACACAGGTGGGGTTCACATCTGGAAGAGATCGCGTCACCCTGACCCACCTTCCCTGTTTGCTCAGGATGGCCAGGCCATGCTTTGGGATTTAAATGAAGGCAAGCACCTTTACACACTAGATGGTGGGGACATCATCAACGCCTTGTGCTTCAGTCCCAATCGCTACTGGCTCTGTGCTGCCACAGGCCCCAGCATCAAGATCTGGGTGAGTGTGGGCTACAGTTGGAACCAAGTACCTAGCTGCACTCTGCCAGACGTGGCATTGTGATTTCCCAAGTGTGTCATCTGACTCACTGCTGGGATTTGAGCTTCCTGAACAACTGCTAGCTGTCAGACTGTCCTTGGAGACTCAGGAGAAGCGGGTTAAAAGTTGCTGAGATTGGAATTTGCAATGATGGGAAAGCTTTGCCTTCTTGAAAGGGATGACCGATTGTAACAACTTAACCCACACTCGGCAAAATTGACATTTTGGTCTGGATAATTCTTTGTGGGGGTGAGGGGTGGGTAGGTGTATTTTAGAATGGATAGGAGCATCCCTGGCCTCTGCTCCCCACTAGATTCCTGTAGCAAACTCCCTTTCCCTTAGTGACAACCAAAAATGCCTCTAGGCATTGCCAGATGTCCTTGAGGGGATGAAAAATCGTTCTCTGTTGAGAATCACCGAGTGCAAAGCGGCTTTTGAAAGGGGACATGCTTGTCTTGAGGTTTAAGTGTCAGTGGCATTAAAGTGTAAAGTGTTGCGTGTCCTTACTCACGTTTTGTCTTTCCCAGGACTTGGAGGGCAAGATCATTGTAGATGAACTGAAGCAAGAAGTTATCAGTACCAGCAGCAAGGCAGAGCCACCCCAGTGCACTTCTCTTGCCTGGTCTGCTGATGGCCAGGTAAGAGTGTCTGTCTTTGGGTGCCTCAGCTTCTACCTTCTGTCTCTCCTTTCTGTTCTTAGTGTGTCTTGTGTGCCAATGACAAGATGAGCCAAGTTGATTTGGGAGGACCTAGTTAGCTGTGCCAGTGAACATATAATATGTCTTCTTGCATCGGAAGGAAGATTGATCTGGAGGGCAGTGGTTATCTGTCTTCGATTAACACCCTGCCTGATTTGACCAGTTTATAAATGTATGAATCCTTACTACCAACTGTTGCTAGCATAATCGCCCACAATTGGGTAGAGCGAGGATCTTAAAAGTATCTTTGTTACATCAGTGGGACTGTAGAGTTTCATGGCTCTGACCTGACTTAACGCTGTCGTTTGTCCCTTGCAGACTCTGTTTGCTGGCTACACGGACAACCTGGTGAGAGTGTGGCAGGTGACCATCGGCACCCGCTAGAAATACATGGCAAGCTTTAGAAATAAAAAACTGTGTTTTAACTTTGAGAAAGTGTCTTTCTGTGATGAGCCAAAAAAGCTACTTCCTGTGCTGTGCTGCTTATAGGTTAAAAAGTCTCTTCAGTTAAGATACTGACAAACTGGAAGCAAGGTGGTGAAAAAAATGGGCAGGTAAACAAGACTTAGGGGAGAAGAGATGTCATAGACTCCCTGTAGGGTTTGGGTGGCATCAGATGTGACATGGAACTTATACAGGGTAGGTTCCCCAACTTGCTTCATCACAATGTCCTATATTTCAGATACAGATTCTTAGGGCTTCCCTTAAATTGTTCTTGAGTGAATTCTTCCAGTTCTTGAGTGATTATTCCAAAGTGGTTGCAGTTGGTTTAGGTTCTTGGGTCCAACTCTTAACACAGAAGAAAGAACTGAAAAAACATGCATTTTGTAATGCCTTGAAAGGTAAGATTATAATTCAGACAACATTCTGAAACTCGCCAGGTTAGCATTGTCTACATCAAATTGGGGCTTTGGTTAAAAATGGAGAATTTTTTTTAAAACCCTTTAGGGCAAGGGAACTCTCACCAGAAGAATTGCTGCTTAATAACAGCAACTTTTGACTCCTTCCATAATGGGAAATTAAAAACTGTAGAATAGTCTGCAGGCATTCATAAATAGGATCACAGCTGGCTTTTTCTCACGGAGTGGCTAAATGACAAGCACAGTGTATTGGAGTGGCCTATACGTACCCTCCTTTTTCTCCTCCAACTCAACAGTGGTATTGAGGCCTCTCCCTGGCTTCAGCTTCAACTTTGTGGGACTTGAACTAGATAGAATCACACATAAAAAAGACTTTGGAAATGTAGTGTTCCTAGGTCCTGGACTTGAGAGCCATGAGTGTAGTGATTGTTGGGAAAACTGTCCTAAATCCTCACAGCAGTGATAGAAAGGAAGTGGAAAATGATTTTAAGTAGATTCTGAAGGGCATGGCAATAAAGAAAGTTGGTAGGATAGTCAAATAAGGGGAGAAGGGTAGGATTTGTACCTCAATCTGTTGAAACAGGATCATGCCTGCTAAGTGCTCACCAAGTGTGTGACAGGTACCAAGGACACATATTCGGGAAAGGTGCAATTAGCCAGTTTTCTGGCATCTCATTTACTGAAGGGACTGGCTTAGTGCAGAAGAAATCAGACGCCTTCTAAGTTACATCCTCAAGCAGGTTCTGCTCATCTAAAGGAATGGACTCCACAAAAGCAGCAAATAAACTTTTTATTTCCACAACACAGTCCGTCTTCCTTGTCCCTCTCCCTCAGGAACGTAAAACGACCTCAGCCATCAAAGCAGAGGACAAAAGCTGATAAGTGACAGAAGGCAAGGAGTTACTAGAAAAATAGATTATACCCAAGGCTGTCCTGGGGCATCCAAACCCCTGTGCCCAGGCCCCCAGTCAAGGCTTGCCACATGGAGGGAACTAAAACACATGGAGAGAAACTGAGAAACTCCACTGAGCATAAGGGCAAGGAGCTGGACAGTGAAAACACCTGGAGAGAGAGGATGGGTGAGCTTTGCTTCCGGATTGAGCATTGGAAAAAGGAAGGGGGGGAAAATAATTTATTGGGTGATGTAATGGTATGTAGTTTCAATGATGTCCACTGTTCTAGACCTCTCAACTGAGGCTAAATTCTGGCCAGTCTATGGAGGTAGAAATTGGGGATGGAAGGAAAGTTTAGAATCCCTTCTACTTCCCCCCGAGAGTAAGACATTTCCCAGCTGTACCCTTTGCCCAGCCTGCCTCCCCAAAAAAGCTTCCAAATCCCTTGGCTAAAATTTGCACCAGAAAATGGAACTGCAGTGGGGGCTGTCATGAGTATTGCTCAAATCCTCCAGTCTCAGAACTGATGTGAAGGTTGAGGAGCAGGGGTGGGGGAAGGGAAGTTAGTAATGAAACTACAGTCTCCCCTCAGCCCCTACTCAAACTCAGACCCCTAGGCCCACAGGAAGGGATGACCAGGCAGCTGTTCTCTTCAGGGACCCATGCAGACCTGTTTGACACATAGTACGTAAGAGAAGGCCAAGCTGGCGGCCAGGAAGGTTCTTTAGGCTCCTAGAGATGCAGGGTCCTGGGGTCAAAAGAGGGGGCAGGAAGCAATGCAGTAACAGTGGGAGGAGCCTTTGAGCCCGCAAGCTTATGGGCCACCTTGAACCACCACCTGCCCCCACCCCCCCAGTGCTGACTAGAGAGGCTCCTGCGGGTGGCAGGCTGATCAAGGGCAGAGCTTGATGCGGGTGCCCTTGGAGAGCACGCGGAAGAAAGGGAAGACACGCTCGCCCAGGAAAGCAGCAGAGAAGGTGTGCACGTGGGCCAGAGTCTCGGCGTTGTAGAAGCCCAGGCGCCCAGCCTCATAGTCCAGGTACACGCCAAAGCGTCTTGGTTTCTCACTTGGGCTCAGCAGTGTCTGCTCCGTTGAGCTCTGTGCCTGGTAGCGTTTACCGTTGGTGCCCACACACCACACTTCCCGCTGGAGCAGGGGCTGCTGGGGCAGGTGGAGCCGGCGGCGGCGATGATGATGGCGTGAGGAGGAGCTAGCATCCCCGCTGCCCACAGAGGACCCCCCAGAGCCCACCTTCTCCTTATGATGGGTCGATTCACGGGCAGCGCCCACCGCCCAGCCCCGCCGCCCGCCCACCTCTACCTCCCAGTAGTGCCGGCCAGAGCGGAAGCCCTGGGCCCCCAGTACACAGCAGTCGCCCGAGAAGCGCTTGGAATGGTCAGCAACCTCCTGCCGCCGCTCTGCCAGGCGGACCCCTCGGCAGTCAGGGGACAGCATCAGGGCCGGGTGAGCCGTGTCAGGGTCCAGTGTCAGGTCCACTTGGGAGAGGAGAGAACAGATATGCGAGGGCTGGAACGACTTAATTGATCAGCAGCGAATTCCAAGGTTCAGCCATTCCTGCTACCCTCCCTTTCACCTCCTTCCGTCCATCCAACCGTTCTCAGCTCCCTACCCCCTCCTAAAGGCCAGGCTCAAGTTCTTAACGGGCTCCACCTCTTTCTCCACTCTTGTTTCCAGGACACCAGACAGGTCTTCCCTCGGCCCTGGCTATTCTGGTCACCTCCCCACCCCCAGCACCTACCTGGGCTAGGACAAAAGCTACTCTTGCCTTGAAGCCCCAGGTGGCCTGCCTTTATCCTGCTCCATCTCAGCACCCACTTTTCCCCCAGGGGCAAATTCCCTCACAACCCAATCTCAGTTCTGTGAAGGGAAAGGCAAAGGAAGGTCTTACAGGTGACCTCCCTACCTCGGGCAGCCTGACAGAACATCCGGCTCATTTTCCTTACGATGGCGTCTGTCAGGAAGTCATGGCTATGAGGTTGACACGGGTCAGGGGACCAGATCTCGGGGGGCTGCAGCTGTACCTCTTCACACCTGGAGGAAGGGGACCGGGCAGGGGGTGGGACCATGATATTCCCAGAGGGCAGAGCAGAAACTGAGGGGAAGGAGAGGAGGATCCAGGAGGCAGAAACTTGGGTCCTGGGGAAGGAAGGAGAGGAGCGGGGTATCCAAGAGAGGCAGGGATGGGGAACCAAATGCCACTGGGTCACAACAGATAAAGGGTAGGAACACACCTATTGAAAGTCTCCTTGATGTCCTGGGAATAACAGAAACAAAAAAAGGGAGAGGGAAAAAGAGACAAAGAGAGAGTCAGCTGCACTGGGATGGCTCCTTTCTCCCAATCTGATTCCAGCCAGAGAAAGGAAGGACTGAACTTGAACAGGGAGGGAGAAAAAGCACCCTCAAGGGCTTCAACAAACGCACATCCGTCTCAATCATTCCTATGCCTCAGCACGCCTAACTCCTCTCATCCTGTGAGCCCAGTAACAGAATTTTCAACCTCAGTGAAAGAATTTTCACAAGGGACTTGGTCATCTTTCGGGATGTCATTGTCAAAAATTCTTTCCTCAATTCTCATTTAAAACTTTCCTTCTCCAACTCAATCTTGTTTTTCTTCACTAGGTATAATCATTGCACACACACCACATTCTGTCTCCAGCCTCAAAAAACCTTTTGGTCTTCAGGTTAAGTCATTGTGGGTTCCTCCCAAGGAGAAGAGAGGCAGCTCTGGACAGGTGTCTGGTAAGCAGTGCCTGACAGAGCAAGCACAGGGTGCTGGGGGGCAAACAGACAAGGAGGTACTGCTCACCTGGAGCAGCCGCAGGCCCCCTTGCTGGCTCCGTTCCTGGGCCTCGGCCAGCAGGCGGCTCAGCTGGGTAGCCTGCTCCGCGAGTCGGTTGGCTGCTGCTCCTGCTCGCCCCAGCTGGGCTTCGTGCATCTCTCGGAGGCGCCGCTCCAGCCCTGCTTGTTCTTCAGCCAGAAACCGTGTCAGCCGCCCAAACTCTGAGGCCACAGCTGCCAGCTCTGACTTCATCTGGCTCTGGGATGATGCAAAGGGGATGGTGGATACCACCTCAACACACAGAAACATAAACCTCTAGTTTTGCAACTGCTGCCCCTCAATCCAAGGCAAAGAAGCCCTATATCCCAAATGGAAAGAGGCTCCTGTTCCCTTCTCCACCTCTCAGCTTTACCAGGTACCACTCCCACACTCCTGGCACGATGGTCCTAAACTCTGCCTGTAACACTCATCTCCACCTGGGCTACTTAAGTTGACTACCTGACTCATTCTTCAGGTCTAAGCTTAAATATTTCCTGAGAGAAGCCTGGCCTCCCTCTCCAGATCTAAATCAGGACTACTTGATCCTGATTTCATTGTACAAATAACACTGCATCTCCTCAAGGCAGCTATCTCAATCTGAAATGGTATGTTTATATTGGAGTACCTTTTAACCTTTCCCCCACTGCACCCTAAGCTATTTGCCAGAGGATCCTCCGACCCTGGCACAGCACCACCCAGAGTAGGTGATTGGTAAGAATTTTTTGAAACCAATGAATAAAAAATTCAGGAATCAAGATAGGAAGTTAGGGTCCTGACTACACCACTAGTAACCTTGGGAAAGTCAGTGAATCCTTTTAGATCAGGAGTTGGCAAACTTTTTCTATAAGGGCCAGATAATATTTCACACTTTAAGGGCCAAGAGGCAAAATCAAGGATATTATGTTGGTACTTCTGTATATAATGAGAGAGAACTTCTGCCCACTCCCACCCCATTTGCCTGGGCTGAGCAATCCTGGATGGTAGGCACAACTTTCACCCAGATATCAGCTAGAGACATTCTTGGGACAAAGTAACAGGCCAGAGTCTGGAGGGAAGTCCAGCTGGCCAAGAAGGTGAAGGAAACAGTCAGTTTTAGTCTCTGTCCCAGTAACACTCAGATCCTGACAACCTCTCTGCACACCAGAAGTGCAAAAGTCTCAACTTGGGCAGCTGGCTGGCAGCAAGATAACTCCCCAACTCCCAGACTCAGATTCTACCACTCAGTCCTGGCAGGTGCCAGCAGCAGAGTCCCTAAGGGGTAGGTGGCAATGAATGAGTACGGGCCCTAGGAAGTGGCAAGCCCCAGCCACTGCCCAGGGCAGGAGGCATGGGAGGGACAGCAGAAGAAGTTGGACAGGAGGGATGTCCTGGTCTCTGAAGCTCAGTGCCAGGCCATTCCAGTGCCTGCTGGCCTTACATAAACAGGCAGAGGGTGACGGATGGGAATTAGGGAAAAAATATCTAAAAATACTCCTTGGAGAGGGTTAAGCAATAATGAAAAAAGGCTGAGAAACACTAGAAGATATATGAAGTAGAAGATATTAGGCCTTTGCTATGCTAGCATTTACTAATTGCTCCCCTCCACTAAACACCCTGGCTCCCTCTCTTGCCTAGGACTGCTCTGCCCACCACCAGCCATCTATTCTGGAACCTGGGGCTTCTCTGAGGGTTGCCATGTGGATCCTTCTTTGCCCATTTCTTCCCTCTGTGCTGTCTCGTGTGGTGGGCACAGCAGTGTGGGGCACCAGCTCTGGGGTTAGGTGTCCAGGGTGGTAAGCCTGCCTCTACAGCCTCGGGCCAAGCACCCAACCTCTCCAAGTCAGGCCTGTTTTCACTCCATTGTGAACAAAATAAACATACATACCCCCTGACCCACTAAGGTCCCTTTCTCTTCAAAACCCTAGGAAAGTAATGTCTCTCCCAGGCCTTGGCTGCCCCTCTCCCTTGGATTTAGTCACCATTTGCACAAGTGGGCAGCCCATCTTCCCTGCCCTGACCACAGAGCCAGTCAGCCCCTGCCAAGGACATTCACCCACCTTCAGCTCTGTCACCCGCCTCTCCTCCTTGGCCTTCATCTTCTGCACAGCCTCCAGGTGCTTCCTCAGTGGTTCTACATGTCCCTGCAGTTTGGCCTAAGGGAATGAAAAAAGGAAGGTTGGAGGCCTGGGCTGAGAGAGGGCCTTGCCCTCAGAGCTCCCTCCCCCATCCTCCCTGCAGTGGGTCAGGGCTCAAAGCCTGAGCCCCATCACAGGTATTAAATGAACATCACACTCCCTTCTTCCCCTTTCTTCTCTTCAGATGATGAGAAAGGCCTCCAACCCTCCACCTGCACTCAGGTACAGAAGCTCTGGGTGTGTTCTCTAAAGGTAGGAGCCTGATGACTACGGAGCCCCACACTTAGAGTTGGGGTGGACCTTGCTTGAGCCACTTACTACACAAAGTCCTTCCATATGGATATTCCTGCCTATGGTCCCTTCCCCCTCATAAACATTCTTCCTCATAACTTTCATCTCTAAATACTCTTTTGATGATTTTGTGCCTCTGCTAAAAATTCTTCAGTAGTTCTCCACCACCTACAAAATAGGAGGTTCTCATTGACCCTATATTTCGAGCCTCCTCTCCTACACCTACCCCTTCTACACAGACTTAGTTTTAGCCACATAAAATTACTTGTCTTTTCCTGAGTATAATTCCATACCTTTATCCACACTGTTCCTTCTGCCTGAAATAGCCCTTTTCCTGGCGCAAGGCATTTTTCCTTCAAAACCCAGCTACCTGACCATAGCCCTGATCCTTCCCATCCCCAACTTATTCTGTAATCCCAAGAAACATGAATACAACCTTTACAATACTTCCCAGGCACTGTAATAATTTTCAAGCGTGCCTCCTCCAAGACACAGGGGCTCCTGGGGGCAGGGGCCCCACTTTACTTTTTTTAATTTCTATGCCTCTCTCTGCCCATCTGCTTTCTCTCTCACTCAATTACTTGCTAAATGGAAAACAAAAACTGTCTCCTCCTAAGGTTTTAACCTTCACAGCAAATAAGCACTTGGCTGTGTGTTCCAATCATCTGTAGCAGAATATTTTTCTTTGAAGGGCAGAGAGACCAGTAAGGGTGAGGTAAGCCCGACCTATCTGCTCTTTCTCTTTTTATCTCCTCTACCACTTCTGCCCTCTCCTTCCTTTTCCTTGAGTGGTAACACAGTGCAGAAGAGCTGAAACCTGCACTCCGACCTGAACCTAAACAGAGACCTGAAGCAAGCCATGCTTCCAGTTTCCTATCTTAAAATGCGAATTGGGAATAAGAGAATCTACCTCATGGACAGTATGCATAGCACAGTGTCCAGCATGTAGCAAAAGATCAGCAAATGTAACCTAGTATTCCCTACTTAGGCCTAGGCTGTCAATGACAGCCTGATAATAACCCTTGACCTAAATAGGTTATTGACCCAAAGTACAAAAGGCAGTTGTTGCACAGGTAAGTGGCTGTAGAAAAAACTTACAGTAATAATAAGATTACAATCAACCCATAAGATGAAAATAGCAAAAACTAATTTTGCCTTTTGATATTACTTCCTACTTTTCTCCAGTAGTGTCAATAATTTCAACTCTATTAATTCAGAATTTATGATGCTTAAATTTCCCACTTAGTATTTTTCCTAAATTGTTGACACAAAGTTCATTAAGCACATATCCAAATAGAGTACTATTTAAAAGAAATTTTCAAAGACCTTCAGCTTTTTAGGAGCTTCATTTATAGATCATTCGTGGGTTATTACCTATTCAATAAACAAATATTTCTACAAAACAACACTGTGCCAAGCTAGTGCTAGTTAGTGTACATACTTGAAAGGAATAAATTACCTGCCTGTAAAGTAGCCTATAAGTTGGAAAGGGAATCACTTACATTAGTTCTACATAATAAAATTTATGTATTTACATTTGCTGATCAGTTAATGTCAGATGATTTGTGTCCATACGGCCTCCCCAAATTGCAGAGCTCTACTGGGGTGGCATACAATAGATGTGGCTAACATAAATTAAAATCCAACTTCAGAAGCCATTCGGAAGAGTCCTGCAGGGGAGGGTGGAGGAGTAGTAGAATGCCCACAAATAGTCCACCCAAGGATCCAGCTAACAAACTGACCGCACACTGATGTTAACTAGGAACTAAGTTAATTAGGAACTGGTGGAGATAAAAGGGGAGGACTAAAGGAGCTCACCACCTCTCCTAATAATGTAGGGCCTAAAAGACAGGCGATGTTACCAATGCAGTGATTCCCATGCGAGGCCAGGCTTTCTAAAGATACTCTCCCTGCCTCTGATTCAGAATCTCTAGTGTACTTTTGAAAACCTCCCCTAATTATTGGGATAATCAGCCAGTTTTGGCAGTCACTGTGTAGAAGAAATAGTTACTTGTTATGAGGGGATGTAGGTTTGTCTTAGCTGTAGCACTCATAGATCCAGACATGGTACTCTAAAATTTGGGTACTGATAATACCTAAATGAGGTTACCGTAGTAATCAAGAGAAGGTGTGGAAATACAAGTCATAAAACAAAAAAAGCTCTGTGCAGACCACATAGAAGAAGCTATCCTCTCCTCTTCCTGATCCCACTGCTTCAAACCCACCTGGGCCATCACTAAATTTTGTGCTGGCTGGTTATTTATGCTGGCTGTCTCACAGACAAATCTCCTTTACTTATGTCCAAAAAGAGTCAGGATCAGACGTAGGGCACAAGATATTAACCAAACTAGAATCAGACTCCAAGAAGAAAAGTCACATGTCAGAAAAGTCAAACTAACAACAGATATTCAAATGGTGGGGACACTGTTAACAGTATGGGCCAAAGGAGAAGGGGTCATAACCAAGTCCATCACTTACTAGTAGCTGTGTGGCCCTAAGTATATTACTTAAATCTTTCTGACTCTGTTTCCCAATCAGTAAAACGGGAACAGATACCATATCAAACTCACAGGGTTGTTTTGAGTTTTAAACGAGATAGTCCATAAAAAGTGCTTAGTAAAGTGCCTGGTGTACATAGTAAGTGTTTAGTAAATATTAACTTTTAATCCTGTAGAAATTAAAGTTCAAAGACTCTCAGAGACTTGCCTGAGTGAATTCAGAGCCAGGTGTTCTGACTTAAAAGCCTCTCCCATTTTTCTGAATTCCCAGGAAGAGTAAAAGTTCTGGTCATTATATCAGACAGATGCAGATCCAACAAAAATCCTTGGGGAGAACCAAGCCATATCTTGGGGTGGGTGGGAAACCCATTAGAAGGCAAGTGCAGAGCATTTGGGTCTGACGCTAGTAGTCATTTCTATGCTCTGGATACTCTAAGCCCTTTCTTGTTCTTTGAGGTCCCAAGTTCTCCCCATCTCCAGGGGTCTCAGTCAAGGACAGACTTAAGACTAACCCACTGGAAAATGAGACTGGTAGTAAAGCCCCAGGGGCATGTCACCTGCACGCCTCCACTTAGGGACAGTGGAAGTGTGAAACAGCAGTGGCTTTTCCCCAAAGATATGGCATCACCAGCTTTGCCCAATTTCCTTTGGGGAAGCCAGTCTTCCCTGGTCTTCTTCACTGTGTGTTTTGTCTGTGTACAGGATCCTTCTCACTCTAACCCACCTTAGTGCCAGCAAGTCCTTAGATAAGAAAAATCAGCTCATCAGTACACGAGGTTCTTTGGGAGGAAGACGTTTCCTTTCCCAGCTCCTCTTACTTCCTCTCCACCCCGACTCAACTCCCTTCTACTTCTCTCACCTTGTACTCCTGCACCACCTCCTCCAGAGGCACCACGCTGTGCTGTTTGTGGCTCCTGGATTCTCGGCACACCACACAGATGGCTTCTTCATCCACCTCGCAGAAGAGCTTCAGGGCTTCCTGGTGTTTGGGGCAAATGCCCTGCTCGGTCCCCCGGCTCCCTCGACCAGGAGTTGGGTGCATCTGGCGAATCACCTGGACCATGTTGGCCAGCTGCAGGTTGGGGCGGAAGCTCCGCCTCGGAAAGCTCTTCCGGCACTGGGGGCAGGTGAAGCACCTCCGAGGGACCGGAGGCGGGGGCAGTGGGGTGACGGGGTCTAGGTCGTCTTCCTCCTCCTCCTCCAGCACGTCCTCCTCGTCCTCCTCATCCTCCCCCCTCAGGTCCTCCTCCATGTCCCCCAAGTAGTAGTCCAGGTCTTCCTCCTCGTCCTCCTCCTCCCACACGTAGTCCATGTTGTCCCAGTTGGACCCGCCCATGCCACTGGTCCAGAACACACCCTCCTCTTCCTCCTCGCCGTCCTCCTCCATGTCACCCTCATAGTCTTCATCCCGCATAGGGGTGTCCCACCCCCCACCGGCCCCCACAGCCTCCACTTCCTCCTCCTCGCCGTCCTCCTCCTCCTCCTCCTCCCGGTCTAACTCATCCCTGTCCTCCTCATCCTCCCCTCCCCACAGCTGGGTCACACACACTCGGCAGAAGTTGTGCCCGCAGCCGATGGACACGGGGTCCGTGAAGTAATCCAGGCAGATGGCGCACACCGCCTCCTCCTGAAGGGTCTGCACGGGGTTGGGTGCCATGGCAACGGCAGCCATCTTAGTGTCCAGTCAGCCAGTGTAGATGGGCGGCGGGGGCGGGGGCGGGGGTCTCCCCCTCAGACGCCCTGACGACCCCGCCCCACCCCCAGCCCTGACTCTCCGCGCCTTGCCTCAAGCGCAGCCAGAGAGAGATCCTCTCGACAACCCACCCCTCCACACACAGTTCCCTACTCCCAGACGATAACCGTGCCTCTGCGAGGGGAGGGGAAAAGCAGAGTGCTACTGCCAAGTCCCTCAGGTGGCCCTGAGTGCAAATCTGCCTCAACGCTCCCTTGGCCTCCTCATAAACCCCCGCCCCTCCCCACTTCCTGGCTCCGCCCCCTCACTTCCGGCCTCCCTCCCAACACTTCCGGCGCTTGCAAGCCACCAAGGCTCGCGGGTTCCCTCCGCGGTCGCGCTACGCCCCCTTTTCCCCCTCTGCCCCCACCGGGACCGTGGGCGACAGGAAGCGGCGAGGAGACGCTCTAGCAGGCACTCGGGAACAGGGCCGGAGGGCTAGAACGATGGAGGCCCACGTCTCTGTGATGCGGGGGAGCGGGGAACGCAGGCGAAACAGAAGGACCGGCCTCCCCCATCCCCTGCCACTGGGGACAAACTTCGGGAGACGGTGGAAGCGCTTGGCGGCCGTCCGCTCTCGGTGCTATGACCGCATCGGCCCCGCGCCATCCTACCGACCGGACACGGAGACCTGCAACAGCGACTCCCCGCAGCCCATGCCGGAAGCGGAGGGGCGGGTCCCCGTGAGCTCCCTGAAGTACTTCCGGCCCTTCCAGGGGAGGACTTTGTTGTTCGAGGACTCAGAGCGTCCCCCGGAGACGGGTCAGGGGGCGGGGCCGAGAAACTTCCCTCCTTCCCGCTCTAGTGGGCGTTTCCACGCTCGTTTTAGAAACTGCGGTCCGGTGGTTGTTGCATCGTTTAGATGAACTTTCCCAAGTGCCCATCAGTAGAGGAAGGGTGGCAGATCGTTACATGCACATTCACACATGGAGCACTCGAGCTGTACAGAGGGACTCCTCTTCAAGATATGTTCTTAAGCGAAAAAGCAAGGTGCTGAACAGTGTGTAGAGGATACAACCATCTGTGGAAAAAGGGGAGGATGTTAAATGTATTTGATATGTCAACAATCCTGTTTTTACTCATGTAGAGTAAGGGTAATAGTTCCTGTCCAGAGGGTTTTGTGAAATTAGAGTTAATATCATGCAAAGCTATATAAGGTTTAGCGACTCTTTAATATTATCGTCATCTGTGTGGAAGAATACTAGTAGCCGAGTTTCTCTGGGAAGGCTGAGGGTGCGGGGTAGGAAGGACGCTTTTTCGTATATGTCGTTTTGTACCTTTTGAATTTTGAACCAAGTCAATGTATTATCTTAAAAAAAAAAACCCAAACTCTTTTTCCAAGTGTCATCGATTCATTCGACACTTTCTGAGGTGCGCACCACGCGTGCTCTGCGCGCATAACCTGGAGTTCTGTCTTCGTGGACTCCCATCTAACAGCAGGGGCTCAAGTTGGATTTGTGGGGTTGATTTTCCTTGAGAGACTCTTACTCGGGATGTAGAACCCTATTAGGAAAGGTGCCGCTGTGGTATCCAGAGCATCTCTGCGACATAGATTATTTGTGCGATAGAAGTAATACTCGATGCTTTAAAAACGTGACTCGTTTAATTTAAAAAAAAAAAAAATGCGGGGGAAGTTACAGGACCGTGATTCATGTGCAGAACCCCCAGCGAGTGCCGGATGCTGCGCGATGGCGGGACTGGCTCGGGAACTCGGCCTGCTGCGGGGGGAAACTCCGAGTGGGCGCGTGCTCCTGAGGGGCTGGTCTGAACGCGCCAAGTCACGAGTGCTCATGGGTGGACAGCTGCACTAGGCCGTGCCAGGAGCTGTGGGCCGTGCTGTGTCGGAGAAGTGTGGCCCCAGGTCCTGACCACAGCTCAGCCGCCGTTGAGGGGGCGCCCCCGGGCCCCGGGAACCGCGGCTCTACTCAACCCCGCCATTCCTGGCCGGGTGTGACTTCAGGTGGGAATCAGTAAGGCCCACTGTCGCGGTGGTTTCCGTAGTGTAGTGGTTATCACGTTCGCCTCACACGCGAAAGGTCCCCGGTTCGAAACCGGGCGGGAACAGCACTTTTCTCTTTTTTTTGGTCTGGCTTCAGTTTCTGTAGTCACCTGTTCACCTCGCGTCGCGGGGAGAGGGGCTATCACCTGAAGAGAAGGACAGGTGCATTTCTGTCTGTATTTCTATTTCCTGGGGGCCGGCAGTGGAGCGGGACCGCGAATGAGCGGCACCCACAGCATGCCCGCTGCAAGTGCTTGACTGTAAATTCAGGTCCCGCACGTGAGCTGATGTCCTGCTCTCCTCGGAAGGCCGCACGGTCACCTCTCCCACGTCGGAGGGCAGTCTTCGGATGCCCGGCTCTCGTCTCTAGGACAGAGCCAGGAGTACGGTAGGCACTCCATAATACTTGTACAGTTGCTTCCCTGCACGTGGCTCCTGGTCTCCTGCGACACAACACAGAAGATCGAGGAGGTGGTCAGGCTAGTTTAGCCTGTAGACCTTGAGACCCTTAATCTCAAATTTGTGAGCTCGACCCCCACGTTGCGTGGGACCCTTTTTGGAAATGAAGATGGCTAAGACCACAAGGTGCTCTACAGACCGAGACCCAGTGGACCTCCGCATGCGCAGCTGGGGGCGCCAGGAGCTGAGCCGGAGCCCTCGAATCGGAATGCGTCCGGCCCTGCGCCTTCCCCGGCCCGAGGGCGTGAGCGAGGGGCAGGCGCCGGCGGGGAGATTCCTGCGGGCCTGCTCCTCAGGCCACCCTTCCGCTTGCTGACGTCTGCCTACCCACGTTCAACGCATGTTAGGCCGTTCTGTTTGCCAAACGACAGGGTGTCCGGGCGACACCGGGGCAGCCCGATTTCGCGACGACCTTACTCGGTGATTTAGAGTTTAGGATTCCCCGCTCTCCCCGCCGCCGCCCGGTTTCGACTTCTGGTCGAGGAGGAGGCGCTCTGGTAATCTGCGACCCTCGTCTTCAATATAGTCTCTTTATTTCTCCATTTTAAGAGTCGATCTTTAGTAAAATGGTGCCCCACACAATCCAGCATCCACATTCCCCCCACACATAAAGGAATGTAGAAATGTCCTTTATTGTGGGACATCCTAACGTGAACATCCTCAGTTTACCCGTCTCCTCACGAAATTCTTCCTTAACTTCAATTGAAGTTCATTCCTTTTTGTTGACTGTTTCCTTAGTCCTGCAAATTCAGCGTGTTTTCTGTTTCCCGTCTGTGGAAGTCTCCCCCACATACACACCAGACCACAGGAGAAGGCTGTTGATCGTTTAGCTGGCTTATGAAACTCGCTAAGCAAAGGATAGCAAAGCCTCAGTCACGGAAGTGTATTGAGGGGCGGAATGAGGGAGAGTTTGGGTGACACCCTGTGAGGGCAGTGTGGCAGGAATCGGTCAGTTTGTCAAGCAGGCAGCGTCGCTAGTAGTCCAGTCCTGGCCGCTCAGGCCTCCCTGGGGAGTTACTGCTACTACCGTCTTATCTTGGAAATTGTGGAGTCTAAATAAGCTGGCGTTCCAAGAGTTTCGACTTTGACATTTCGTCTTGCACAAATGCTTGCGGATTCGTTTGCAGATTATGGCTTCAAGGTTGTTTTTTTACACCTTCACTGGGCCTGGAAAACATTCCTAAAGGATTCTGGCTGTCCACTAAGGGGAAGCGAAATGGCCCGGCTTCTCTTTCCCGTCTGCCAACAAGCCGAGGAACGCCGCCCGAGCCTTCTGCTACCGTTCTTGCTTTTCTCTCCTTCCCACCCCCTCCACCGTCCCTCCGGCCAGGCCGGGTTTGGAATCCCCCTCCGGGTGAGTGACCCACGCTACTCGTGGCACAAAGGAGTCAAGCGTTCATCAGTTCAGCAAACACATGGGACCCTGGTAGGATCTTTGGTCTTCTTCCTTCTTGGTGGTGGAGAGGCGGATGGTAGAGGCAGAAAGACTCGCTCAGGTTTACACTTTAGAGGGACTCCTTCTGGAATAATGAGCAGGAGGTGTGAGGAGAGTGAGACCGCGTCAGGGAGAGGGGCTGGAAGGACACAGCCATGGTCCAGACGCCAGGCGGATGGCGGGGCAGCAGCCAGACGGAGAAGCGGATGAAGGAGCTAGACACATGGTATCTCCCCAGGCAGGAGAGGGGGTTTGCGAGTTTCTGCTTTAAATGGTTTAATAACCAAGAGCAGAGACTGAGGATTGAGGGTGAGGGGTTGAGAGAGGAGCGAGAAGTAATGAGTTCTGTCTTGAACAGGTTGGGAGACGTCCAAAAGGACGTGGCCAAGACGTGTGAATCTGAAGCTCGGGGGGAGCGGTCCTTGCTGGAGCCATAGGTGCGGGGGGAGAGGGTGGGCCACGCTGACCTTGGGAAGATGGACTCCGTAGATGGAGAAGTCGGAATAGAAGGAAAGCCAGCAGCGAAGCTGCCACCGAGGCCAAAGGAGCCGAGATGTGCAAAAAGAGGGGAAAATCGGTAAAGTCAAATTATGGTCTAGCAAGGGAAAGTGGTAAAGCGTCCATGGATTCGGCCACCTGCAGGCTCCTGGTGACCTTGAACTAGACTGGACAAGAGGGCTTCCCTCCCTGCGCTCTGGCAGAGAGGCCTTTCGGGCCACAGACACGTCCAGGATCCCTACGCAATAGGACAGCCTCTGTCCCAATTCCTGGCTGCCCAGGGCTTCGGAAATCAGAGTCAGCGACGGGAAAACATTTTGCAATATTAAACCATCGAGCCTACTCTTAAATTTACGTATATGTACATCTACATATAACATTCGTTAAGCCTCATCCCAATTCTGGACATTAAATGCTAGGATTGATAAGTTTTATTTTTATAAAATGCTTAAAAGATTTCATTACCTTTTCAAAATTTAATAAAATTTTCAGTTTTATTTAAATAACATTAACTTAAATTTTGATATTAATTAATTTCTATTTCCCTTTTATTTTTAATAGATAATTTCCCATAATTTAGAACAAGTGTATAATTATTTTGAAAGCGTATGTAAAATTAATTTCATTTTTGCCTTATATATATATTTACGTTAATTTACATTTTGACGAAAATATACTTAAATCTCGTATACTTTGGGTAAACTTTGCATTTCTTTAATCTTTTAGATTTTTACTGTCAATAGAGCACAAATCATGTGAAAATTTAAGCCCTCCAGCTGTCTCCCTAGAAGAACGGCAAATAATGGAGAAGGATATCCAGTCGCAACCCTCCGAAGCCACATTTAGCTTCGCTCCTGCGAGGCCTATTGCTTTCATTCACCCCTTTTTTTTTCTTTAATTGCTGGAGGTGAACCATTTCATGACTCACTAACGGGTCGCGCTCCGTAGTTGGACAAACACCCAGGGACCAGTGTTCCAGGAGGAAATAGTTCCAAGCGCTGTGACCCGGCAGGCGGGGTGGGGAGACCTGGGCGGGGACCACGATCATAAGTCTTATAAAGGCTATGGAGGACAGCTTCCCCCGTGGGTTTCCGTAGTGTAGTGGTTATCACGTTCGCCTAACACGCGAAAGGTCCCCGGTTCGAAACCGGGCGGAAACAAGTGCCTCCTCGTTTTCCTTAAATGAAAGAGTTTCTTCTGATTAGTGAATTTGTCTCATTCTGTCATTTGTCATCGGAAAGTAGGAGCCTATACCCGTACTTTTATAGTTTTATCCCTACTCCTGCCTTTTCCAATCCAT